ATTGTGAGGATGGCGCAGGACCAGGCAGTGTTTCACTCTGTTTTACATCGAGTAGGTATGAGTCAGAATTGCCTGGATGGCACCTAATAACAACAATGCCTGTGGTTATAATCGGATTTGGGAATGGATTGTCTTTGTTATGTTCATGAGGTAGGATTAGTGTAGAGTGTGTCTTGAGTTCATCTCTTTTGAGATTAAACAAGCAAGCAACCTACCAGAGATGAGGTAAAATAGATGCCAAGACACATCGAGATCTCCAAGGAACCAAGAAGCAGAAGCTGAAGAGACAAGGACCTTCCTCCCTAGCTGGCAGACAGAGAAAGGTTTCCCCAAGAGCCTGCAGTCTAAATTTGGACTTCTAGCCTCTGAATCTGTAGGAAAATAAATTTCTGTTTGTTAAAGCCACCCATTTGTGGCATTTCTATTATAGCAGCACTAGATAACTAAGACAATTGCTAAGTTCCATGTGGGAAATCTAAATGCAAACTTTTGCTTCTTCTAGACTTCAGTGTATGCTTAATGACTGTTTTGAATTCCTTAAATTATTTATCTTAATTACCTTATGGGTTGGGTGATGTGCTTTTTGTTTTCCTAAAAAAATTATGAATATAAAACTACTTGAGATCAGGTTGTGTTCTTCATTATACTGGCATTTGCATTATATAGTATAATATTCATTCCCTTTAGAATTGTTTTCTATCACTGTCCAGATAAAGAGCCTTTGTATATCCACTAATGTCTTCTTTTTTTACCCACTTCAGCATTACTGTAATCTTTATTACTCTCCATGCTCAGTGTGAACCTCAGTGCTTGTCATTATCTTTCCTCTCATTCAATATGAAGGAATGCCAAAATAAGGTTCTGGCAATACCCACTCTGATTGTAACCAAAATATAAGAAATAAGTAGTGTTCAAATATTGCTCCTCATTCTTTGCCTTTCATTTTTGAGAAAGAGAATCATGCACCAAACCCCCTCCCTACTTTTGCCAAAATCTTAATATTAGAGAAGAAAAGCCAGCTGAAATTTTTCTTGATTTGGGTGAACGCATATACAACACAAATGATAGATTCACAGCATTTGATTGAACTTTAGTTATTTTAGACTTCAAAACCAAATACACAGCCTCTATGTCTCGAAGAAATCAGAAAATACTACAAAGTGACAATAAAACAAGAAAAGCCACAAACTACTGTTTTGAAGTCTCTACTGGCTAGGGCTATTGCTTTTTCTTTCTCTCCCAGGCAGAGAGAAAATTACTGTCTCCATTTTAGTACAAACACAAAGTAAGCCGTCAATATTCTGAAATACACCTCAAATGAATAAATTATTATTAATGATCCTAATAGCCTCTAACGTCAGCACAAGAGAAGATTGCTGAATAATGTTTATCTTTCTTTGACTACGAGGAAAGTATAGCAAAAATAAAAGCAGATCATGTGCTAGAACTAAGAGGTGAAGCTCAGGAGAATGCGGAGGCTTCCCCTTGTGTGCTATAGGAAGTACAAAGAACTCAGTGGGGAAAGAGTTGGTTCCACCAACGCAAAGGAGGCAGGTGTATCTTGTGATCATTTGTAACAACAACATATGGGGGGAGAAAAAAAGAGCAATAGTGGAATTTCTAAGACATAAGAACATAATCTGCTTTAAACAAACACCAAAACTGTTACTTTTATTCTCAAAGAAACAAGCCTTGAAAACATTTGCTAAAAATTTCTAGGAAACAATAATGTTTACATCCTTGCTTAGACTATATAGATTAATCAATATTAGATGTTGCAGAAATAGACTGAAATAACCCTAATGAAATTAGAAGGAAGCAAACTACATCTTCTGAGTGTGTGCAGATGATATGGCAAATTTATGAATATGAGACTGACACTCTAAGGACAGAGAGAAAAAGAGAAGAAAACCTTAAGTGAGAAAATATTTATTTTAGAAGGAGTCTAATGGGCCTACTGTTATTCAACCAAATGATTTTGTCAGAAAATTAGAGCAAATGTATTGCTATGAGGCATCTGTCTTATAAAGCCCATATCAAGGTCTCAGCCATGTCTATTCCTTCTATTGGCTTCTCTCCTGTTCTCTGATGACTACCAGTAATCCTTGGATTTCCTTGGGTACTTACAGGTGCATCTTCCTCCTTCCTCACATATGGTCTCCTCTTGTGTGTCTGTCTTTTTGTCTGTACTCCTCATGATAAGACAACACTCTGAAGTTAGGTTTAGGACCCACCCTACTCAGGTATGACCTTGTTAGTGTAAGAAGAGAAAAAAACTCTATTTCCTAACAGGATCACATTTATAGATACAGGCGTTAGGACGTCAACACATACACTTTGGAGGAACACAATTCAATACATAACAGCTGCTAATAATATAATAATATTTTTCAAATATATGTATATATATTATTAGAATTATATCTTTGGACATCATTTTCTTTAAAATATAATTTGAAAAAAGTTTTTTAAAAGTTTATGCCATTTGAGTGGCATAACACAAATTGTAACACCTGGACTCTACACTTACTCATCATACTTGGACAAATTCATATTCACTAAGCTCCTCTAAATTAACATCTCTGTCTTCAATATTAACATCATCTATAGCTATGTAAAAGAAAACATCATTCATTAAAAAAAAACACAGGAAATTGGAAAAAGTTACTCATTAAAAAAACTATATACTATCAATTCTGTACTAACATTACAATATAAAGAAAACACAAGGTTGTCAGACTAATTCAAAAAAGCCTCATCCTTACAGAGAGGGGCGTGTTTCGTGTTTCTCTAAAGGAATCAATAGTGTTTCTACATGTGTATGTGTTTATTTATGTAGAAAAGTATTGTTTTTATGTACAAAACTGAGTAATTTCCCCACAACTTTTCTAGTTGCAAAAGCAGCTGCATCATACTTATACCCTCACAGATACTTCCCACCAAAGCCTTTCTGAGTAACTTCTGAGTGGAAGCAGGAGAAAAATGCAAACTAAATTCAAAGGGAATATGACATATATTCTTGGGCTTTTAAAAATTCATTTCAAACCACCATACCAACTATCTTCTCAGAAAGCACATTTCAAAACATTTAGTCAATAAATCATTTTGGTATGTGAAAAAAATTTAGAGTGCAAAATATATGTGTAGATTCCCATAGATAAATGTTACCCAGCCATCTTCCTGTATATAGGTGATGGGTGGATAGATTAAAGAAAGAACAGAATGTAGGAATGGGAGGAGGGAGGGGAAAAGAAAGGATCAGAGGAAGAGAGGAAGAAAGAAGATAAAAGAGGGACAGATTTAGAGAATATAGATCGTTTTGGCACTGGCTATGTTTCTTTTCCTTTAGTTTTCCTAATATCTTACAGATCTACTTATTTTACACTATTCTATGTATAAATGCAACCACAATTTTTAACAACCAAAAGAAATACCAAATTGATGAAAGAAGATAAAGCACATTGAGATTAGGATGTTGACATAGAAATAACTATGAATTAGAATAATTATTATAACTTGCTTTACTTCCATAATAAAACTTTTCTAAGGAACCCTGGTGGCGCAGTGCTTAAACCACTCAGCTGCTAACTGAAAGGTCAGCGGTTAAAACCCACCAGCCTGTCTGCGGGAGATAGATGTGGCAGCCTGCTTCTGTAAAGATTACAGCCTTGGAAACCCTATGGAGCAGTTCTACTCTGTCCTATAGGGTTACTATTGAGTAGATACCGACTTGAAGGCAGTGGGTTTGGTTTTGGCTTTAAGAATTGATTTACACACCTGGATTTCTCATGAATTAGATACAAAATCAAAAATTTTTGTCTATGTGGGTTGTTATGACTGTATTTGCTAAAAATATATTACTTAACTAAATGAAATTATTTTTCAAAGTCATATGAAATATTATTAATGCATATTACTTTCAAAAATTGATTTCATATATAAGCTAGATTATGTTTTAAATATTCAATTGCTTAAATATTTTTTTCCTAAAATGGAGGTTTGAAATTATTGTGTCGTTGTAACAATGCAGTTCTATGATGAGTTCAGACAGTTTTAACTAGATATTAGTATAAAGTTAAAATATTAAAATTATTTAGGAAAAAAAGATTTCTATCAAAGTTTGAATTTTTCTTTAACATAATTTTCAGGCAATACATTCAATGTTTTCTGTACAATCAAATGATTTGATATAATACTTTACCTCTATTTTCAGGACACTTTCAATCCACTTGACATTATGGGTGTGTTTTTAATTGACTAAAAGGTAATGAAGGAGTACTTTTCAAAAAATTATCTATTTATTAAGATTGATAGCATTCTTAATACAATTAGATACATATTGTTAAAAAAAAAAAAAGCCCACCTAATTTTCACCCAAAAACTCTATTTGTAATGTATAGTACTAAAACAATTTAGTATTAAAAACAATTGTTGATAATAAAAATCTTTCAGTGAAAATATCTTTTCTGAAAAATTGTCAGTGAAGAAAAATTCAAAACTTGAAAGAAAACCATTGGATAGTGACTAAGCTAATAATCTGAGAAACTCTTAATTTCAATGGAATTTAAAAGAATTTCTTATAATATTTTGTTCCTTAATATAATGAATAGGAAAAAAATAGACAGATTCCAACATTGAATCAACATTGGTCATAGACACATTAATGTTTATTTCTTATATTATATAATCATGAGTAATGATAAATCAGCAGCAAGTCAAATACTCTTCTTTTATGGAAAATTATCCTGAAAATTTGTTTTCTTCAATCTGAAACTCTCCTGAATGCTGAACATTTCTATGTAGAGAAACATTCACTGAGGAAAATACCTCCCCTCCCCACATTTGTTCCTTTTTCTCAGTCCAGAGGTAGTTTGAATTTTTCCCTACCCATCCTCCTTCCTCTCTTGACATGTCCAGGGCATTTTCAACCCTGTGTGATATTTATCATGATGCCTACTCAGGTACCTTTAGTTTTAGGGAAATATGTCATAAAAACTTACCCCATTTTTTGGAAAAGCAATCCATCCCAGATCCCCCATGACAGTACGTGAATCCAGTAAGTTCACTGAAAGTAGAAGAAAGGCAGAACTGAGTGATATGTATAATACATATATTATACACATATATAAATGCATTGTTATTTTGACAGTGTTGTTAAAGGTGCATATTGCTTACAGGACTGGAATTCTATTAAGCATCGATTATGATGATTAAGACATATAATATGAAGAACATATTTGGATACAAGAGAACAAGTGATTTTGAATAAACATTTGGAGAACAATTATAGCCAAAAACATATAACAAGTCATTATCCTAAATGCTTTTTTGGCAAACAGTAATAAAGAAAAATATTAATACAATGAAAAATAAATAATGGAAAAAAAGAAAGGCCTACAAAGAGAGCCCATGCTTTCTTTTCTTTTCTTTTTTCTTTTTTAAGTCTAGGTCTCGAGATTAAGCTACTGCCATAAAATTGTGTCTAAATGTATTTTATTTTGGAATGCTGTTATGAAACAATTAACAAATAGTTTACATTAACCAGCAATAAACTACTCCCAAGTTTGTAACACTTTTTTTGTGGTATTAACCAAAATCTGTAATCTAAATTGCAAGTTTAATAAAGAAAGAAATCTACACATGTTTAACCAAGCCAAGGAACTTATAGCAGCTTTCAGAGCTGTTGCTATATTTAAGGGTACAGTGCATTCCCCACAGATATCTTCTACTTAGATGAAACTATAGTTTAAAATGTGGTTAACACAGAACTGTTAGCTATATTTTTGAAAAGTAGACTTCAATTATGGATGGAAAACTTAAGATATTTGGAAATCCCCAGGTGGAAGTCTGAAGACTATCATGCAAAAGAAAGCCATGGCTGAGTATGTACACAAGCGTACATGCACTTGTGTGTGCACTCTCTTTCTCTCTCTCTCTCACACAAACACACACATACACACACACAGTGTTTATATTTCAACAGGTTCATCCACTTTCCTGGGGAAAATCAAACTAGCTTAAAGGGTGATGTCTAGTCAATATGATTTAGATCTGGATGAAAGATTATTTTCTTTCTAAGCTAGTGTGTATGAGCCAAATGTAGCTACTCAACTGAACTGAACTACATCAAATGAGCATGGCATTTAGATCCAAAAGGAAAGCAACTGGGTTATCCCTGGTAAGAGGTACTGAAATGTCCTTAAATTACATTCAGGAGCCAGTATCTCAAAATGCCACCAGGATGATAGTATCTGCAAGTGTAAGCCTTGGTACTAAAAATATAATAGTTGACGGATTATCATAGTAGTTTAATAAGAGATTGTAGATAAAAATCAGGATGACATGTTTCACTACAGCAAATTTCATTGAAATTGTCCACATGTTATATAAATTATATGCATTTCAATATTATTATCCATCATTTTATTTCACAATAGAACTCATCAATGAGAGACAAGTACAACATATGCAAGCATATGTATCTTGTAAATCAAGTTAACTGTCTATAATATTAGTAATATTAAGACATATCAACAACTGAAAATTTATAGAATAGAAATATCCTGAATATCCATATCCACATATCAAAGGAGCAGCTGATGAATTCGAACTACTGACCTTTGGTGAGCAGCCAAATGCTTAACCACTATATAGATATATAAATACACACATACATACGTAGTAAGATTGATAGCATTATAAATAAATGGAGATGCATATTCTTAAATATATATGTATTTCAATATACTTGCCTATTTTCCTCACTACATTCTGGGATCTTGATGAAAATGCATAACTATATAATGTTTGTACTATCCTCAGCTTTTCCCATCATATTAGCTTTAGGGAATCATAAAATAAATAAATAATTGAATTACAATTTTCTTAGGGAAAAGATAACCTAACTGAGAAACTATTGTTTAAAATAACAAAAAATAAAACAAACAAACAAGCCAAAAGTCTTCCACTATCCACTATCCTTGCAAACCCTGGCAGTCACGTCACTAAATTTAATTTTTCAGTTAGATCCATACTCTTGTCTCTATTGTTGGCTTTTCTGGTTTCCATGGGAATAAGGCTGCATTAAACTTAAATGTCCTTGTCCTCATTTTAGTTTTTCTGGGACACTGGGGCTGTGTCTAGACATGACTAAATACCAAGGGAATGTAAAACCTAAATTGTTATGTTTATTCATCTTAATGATTCATTTGATTCACCTTTGATATTGAGCAGCAGCATATCTGTATAGACTAGATAAAGTAGAGCAAACCAGCAAACTAATGGAGCTCTACTGTGATGGCCGTCAGTTTGAATTTAACCCTGTGGTGGCAAACAGATGTGCATTGGAATTCTAGGATTTCATAAGCAGCCAACATGAGAAACACAGTGTTCCTAATAGACCTTTTAGCATTATGTGAATCTTGAAATATTCATTATTACCAACAGAATTCCAGATACCCTCTTAATGTTTTGTAATTCTCAGTTGAATTACCTTTAATGCTAAATTATGATTGTTATCTTTTTTTATGACTTGAAATATATGTACGTGTGAAAGAAAACGACCTTCAATTTTGGTTTGGCTATCAATACAACTTAATAGGAGTTATCAATATTGAAATATATAACAGAATAAGTGAAAATGACAACAATAGGAATACATATTTTCATACTTCTGGTGATTTAGTAATAGAGTGTTCCTCAGATAAATGGATTAGCAAATTTATAGGAATGTATATCATTTTCACTTACTATTTAAAATTTCTTTACTCCTGGAAATAGAAGACTTAATAAGATTCACAATGCAAAGAAGATATTTACATACACCTTTACTAAATTGAAAACTGAGAAAAAAGTAAAATTAGATGTTTTTGGTAATTACCTTGCAGATTACCATATTATAATCTTATCCACTAAATGCAGAGTAAAGTGTGCTTTGGTTTGATGCCTTGGAGAAAATAACTATAAAAAAATTACGTGTGTGAGTGTGTATGTATGTATGCACGTATGTACATATAATGCTTTTTTACACTTGCAATTATTACCTACTGTTTTAACTGTCTCAAATGCTCTTCTTCCTTTGCCAATTGCTAACTCTTCCTTTGTTCTTCAAAACATATTTCAGGAACTACCTTCCCCAGGAAGCCATGGCTGAATCCTCTTTTTTGAATCTAGGGTAAGTATTCTATTAGCAACCAATTTCTATCTATAAAATACTGATACATGAATTATATGGTTCCCTTAAAGGACAACCCACGTTTAACTCATGCCTATGCATCTACCCTGCATAATTGAATAATTCGCTATCTTATGAAGGAATCATACGGTCATTGGGCAGATCAGAAGAGGTGTGGCTGAATCAGCCACACCAGTGGTTCTCAGTATGGGCATTTGGCAAGGTCTAGAGATATGCATCTAGTGTGTAGAGTCCAGGGATGCTGCTAACTATTCTGCAATGCACAGAAAGTATGCACCCCTCCCACCCCCCACCCGCCAGCTGCACTACCACCACACACACAAAGCAAAGTATCATCTGGCTGAAAATGGCACTAGGGCCAAGGCTGAGAATTCCTGGCATATACTTATTGATGTTACTAGAAAAATCTCTACTTTCACACTCTTTGTATGGTGCATCAGGCATGATCTTCCTGAAAGAAAGTTAGCATATTTGGGGGGCATTCCTTGGCAACCAAATAATATTCGTATTTAAGGAAATAAAAATAGTAAAAATAATTTTACTCTCACATAGGAAAATAAAAAATAGAGTATTCTGACTACTCAATACCCTTAAATTATATTTCATGTAACCAATACAACTATTATTACTGATATTCTTTTTTATGTTCTAGTAATTCCTTAACATTCATGATCCTATGTTTGAAAAAGTGCCATGCCACTGATGTTATTAATGCTTCCCTTTTCCCCATTATTTCAGCTTGTTACATAGAAAACATAAGTTTAGACAAAAGAGGTATATAAATGTGAATTTTCAGAAGTTTATTTCCCAATTTCATTACTGAATTTATAAAAAGGGAGAATTTTGGCAGTTAAGTGGCACAGTCACTAAGTATCTTCTGTGCTACAACTACAGTAATTAAATTGTTCAAACAGTATATATGCTTGCTGTAAATTGTAATAAATACACAATAAGTATTGATCTTCATGGTACAACTTAATTAAAACTTGTCCGGGAGAAGACACTAATGAATATAATTAGAGGAAATGTTTGATACCACAGAGTTACTCTGGAAGACATTAATTAATATCAGAAATTTTGTGGAAAATTTTTTTTATTCTATTGTTTGTATGTTAAAATAAAACCACACCATTAAACTGAGAGACAGCCTTCAAGTTCATTTTCCCTCAGCCATTGTATAATTATGTTAAAGATTAGCATACTGGTTGTACTCTAATCAGTAATTAAGAAGACAGATTCTTCATGAGAAATAATTGTACAGGAGTCAATGGGTATTTAGTCTATTGCAAATTCCTAAAGTTAATATACAGGGGGGGAAATCTCACTAATATGTGAACTTTTTAATAAGTAAAAGTCACTTAACTGTCTTCCCAACCAAATAACAAATTAGAATAGAAACTAATTAAAAACAGTTTTAAGTATACTTTAATTTTATTATTACCCATTGCTGTCTAGTTGATGTAGACTCATAGCAACCCTGTAAAAAACAAACAAAAAAATACCCATTGCCGTGGAGTCGATTCTGACTCATAGGGACTCTACAGGACAGAATAGAGCTGCCCCATATGGTCTCCAAAGAGCAGCTGGTGGATTCGAACTAGCAGTCCTAGCTCTTAACCACTGAACCACCATAGCGACCCTACAGGACAGAGTAAAACTGCCCCACAGGATTTTCCAGGCTGTAATCTTTACGTAAGCAGACCGCCCAGCTGAACTTTCAGGTAGCAGCCGAGCACTTAAACACTCGCAGATAATTTTAATGCTTTCTTGAACAAACAGGGGAAAGCCAGTTCTAGTGGCACAGTGGTTAAGAGCTTGGCTGGTAACAAAAAGGTCAGTGGTTTGAACCTGCCAGCTGCTCTGTGGCGGAA